TTTAGGGTTTAGGGTTTAGGGTGGTTTAGGGTGGTTTAGGGTTTAGGGTTTAGGGTTTGGGGTTTGGGGTTTAGGGTTTAGGGTTTAGGGCTGTACTGCGACAGGGGCATGTGGGGGCCAAGCACTGTTGGTCACTTGGTCCCTCCTCCGGCCACCTCGTCACGGGGTCACTTGAGACACCTGGAGGACTTGGAAAATACCGGCACCGCACAGCGCTCCAGCTCAGTCCCAGGGCCTCTCACGAAACGCGGACATGTGGACTTGGTCACTTGGGGCAAGCATTACTCTTCACTCCCTTAAGCCCTAAACCCTTAATCCCTGAAACCCTTAAACCCTAAACCCTAAACCTTAAACCCTAAACCCTAAACCCTAAACCCTGAATTTGATCCAATGAAAACTGCTGATTCGGCCTGTGCCTTGCCTGGAGGGTAAGCCAGCCCGGAGGCTGGCTCGGCTGGGGCTCCCTCGCAAGGTCTCACGCAGCCCTCGACCAGCGCCGACCCCAAAAAGAGAAGTGAGTGGGGTGGCGGGCGGGTTTGCGGTTTAGGGTTTAGGGGTTTAGGGTTTACCATTTAGGGCTTAGGGTTTAGGGTTAGGGTGTATCGTTTAGGTTTAGGGTTTAGGGTTTAGGGTTTAGGGTTAAGTGAGTGGGGTGGCAAGAAGTGCCTGCGGAGGACTCCGCGGGCCTGGAGGCGCGGGTTGCAGAGCCGGCGGTCTGCAGCTCTAAACCCCAAGCCCCAAACCCCAAACCCTGAAACCCCAAACCCTGAAACCCTAAACCCTCAACCCTCAACCCTCAACCCTCAACCCTCAACCCTCAACCCTCAACCCTAAACCCTAAACCCTCAACCCTAAACCCTAAACCCCAAACCCTAAAAACCCCAAACCCTACACAGGAAACCTTTTACCCCGAAGGGTTGCAGGTGTCAGAGGTTGAGAAGGCTTCGGGCTTCAGGGCTTTCGGGTTTGCAGGACTTTAGGGTTTCGGGTTTAGGGTTTAGGGTATAGGGTCTTGGAGTGGGCCACGTTTTTGCTTTTGAGCCTGTTAGGTCCCACAGGCCAGCGCCTCTTACCCAGAGACTGCACTTGCCCTTCATTCCCTTCATTGGGGAATGTCCCTTGGAGTCTCTTCCTATGCGCAAGCCGCACTTTCCATATGCCAGATTCCAGTCAAAGTCCCAAAGCCTTCGCTGAAAATGTTGCTGTTGAAGAGCGGCACTGCCATTGGGTCCATCCTAAAGTGCACCAGCACCACCCTAAACCTGTCAACCCCAAACCCTAAATCCTGAATCCATCAACCCCTCAACCCTAAACCCTAACCTTAAACCCTAAACCCTAAATCCTAAACTCTAAAACCTTAAACCCTAAACCCTAAACCAAAAACCCTGACCTCCCAAGCCCCTTAAAGGCTCAGGCAAGCCACCAAGAGCGCGCAAAACACTGCACTTAGGAACATACCTTCATCATTTTATATTATAGCACCCCCTTTTGAAGCTTGCGGGCTCTTGGTTCCTAAACCCTAAACCCTAAACCCTAAACCCTAAACCCTAAACCCTAAACCCTAAACCCTAAACCCTGGACCCTGGACCCTAAACCCTAATCAAGGGGAACTCGCGCTTGTTGGGTAGCTCGCAGAACCTGCAGCAAACTAGGGGCGACCGCAAGGCCGTTCACTGGGTCTGGTCCGTGGAACATGGTCACCCCATCTTCGTACCCAGAGAACCCAAATTTAGGGTTTAGGGTTTAGGGTTTAGGGTTTAGGGTTTAGGGTTTAGGGTATGTTTACAGGATCCCAATTATAAATTACAGCATAATCCCACTTTTGGGGTCTTGGGCTCTCTGGGAAGCGGCCGTCACATCGCGCAGATCAGAGTGCACCCTTAGCATCGTGACCCCCAAATCCAAGCCCCTAGAAGCCGTAAAGCCTGGAGACCCTTAAACCCCTAACCCCTAAACCCGAAACCCTAAACCCTAAACCCGAAACCCTAAACCCTAAACCTTAAACCCTAAACCCTAAACCCTAAACCCTAAACCTAAACCCTAAACCCTAAACCCTAAACCCTAAACCCCGAAAGAACCCGAAAAGGAGCTCTCCAAGCTGCAGGCCCGGCGCTTCCTCTACGTGACCATGGTGTTCGGTCCACAGTCCGACCCCCCATTTGGGATGGAGGCTAAGAGGCTACGTAGGGTTTAGGGTTTAGGGTTTAGGGTTTAGGGTTTAGGGTTTAGGGTTTAGGGTTTAGGGTTTAGGGCTGAAAGTTGAAAGAGCTGTTGTAGGTACTGAGGGATGTGTGTCTGGGTTCTCGCGCGGCTCAGCAACGAGCAAAAGACTCAGGAAACCAGGATTCAGACAACTCCGGCGATTCGGAAAGCCGCGGCTCTGCCAACTAGGCGAGGCAAGAACTTGTGCGAATCCGGAAACCTCAACCCTAAACCCTAAACCCCTAAACCGTAAACCCGAAACCCTAAACCCGCACAACTCAAGAAGCTTTGATTCTGGATCCGCGGGATCCAGGAAGCTGCCTGATTCAGGAAACCCGCACGATTCTGGAAATTGCTGGAATCAGGGAAGGGATTCGATGGCGGAAAGCTGCCCGATTCAGGAAGCTGCTCGATTCAGGAAACCGCCCTATTCAGGACTCCAGATGTGGAAAAGGGGGGGCAGGGAGTGGGGGGGATCATGTCCCAAGTACAATGGCTTGACTGGTAGCATGGCGTGACTTCCAGGTCATTTTGGTCGACTTCGGTAGGCTTGTCGGTTCCTTGACTGATACGACCCGGAGGGGTCAACGTTCTCCGAAGCCAATTCTCACAGATGCGCTCTGAATCTGCGATTTTTTCAGCTTCCCGAAGCTGCACTCTCCGAATCGACACTTTTTGCAGTTTCGCGCCCGCGTTTCACGAGTGTTTCTCGAAGCTGCGCTCTTCGGTCCCCCGAATCCGCGTTTTCCGGCTTCTTCTCGAATCGCGTTATTTCTCTCCAGTTGCGGAATCTGTGCGTCTTCAGCTTCCGAACCCGCGACCATATGTACATATGTATGTATGTATGTATGTATGTATGTATGTATGTATGTATGTATGTATGTATGTATGTATGTATTCATTCATGCATATGTGTATATATATATATACAATATACATATATATATATAGATATATACAGATCAACATGCCCATATCATCTTATATATATATGTGTATATACATATATATATATATATCCACATTGAAAGGCCAACCAGTTGCAACCACAGCTCCCTTAAACCCTAAACCCTAAACCCTAAACCCTAAACCCTAAACCCTAAACCCTAACCCTAAACCCTAAACCCTAAACCCTAAACGCTAAACCCTAAACCCTAAACCCTAAACCCTAAACCCCAAACCCGAGACCCTAAACCCTAAACCCTGAACCCGAGACCCTAAACCGTAAACCCTAAACCCTATACCGTTATCCCCATGTTGCGGGGCCCCGTTTTGACAAAGACGCCTGTTGAAGCCCGCCCGAGGTACGTTCCCTACATTCCACGCTTCGTGTCGCGAGCCGAAGCTTTGGGTTGCGCACTCAGAGCTTCTGAGTGCAGAGGGCGGAAGAGAGGGGAGCCCCAGTTCTTAGCTTAAGAAGTGCGTGCGCAGATTGCCAGTGAGGCAGGGTTTAGGGTTTAGGGTTTAGGGTTTAGGGTTTAGGGTTTAGGGTTTAGGGTTTAGGGTTATATCTGACACCGGGGCATGCATCGATGCTTGCGGATCAGGCATCTCAAACCTCGTCCTCTTCTGCCTGGACGAGGAGGCGCTGTATAGATGCCGCGAGCTGCCTGGGCCAGAGGAGAGGTGCCAGGGGAGGGTTGAGGGTTTAGGGTTTAGGGTTTAGGGTTTAGGGTTTAGGGTTTAGGGTTTAGGGTTTAGGGTTTAGGGTTTAGGGTTTAGGGTTTAGGGTTTACAATGGGCTACATGAATCTTCATGGTGATTCGGTAGCCGCACTCTTGCTCTTTCCCTTTTTTGGCAAGTCGTACTTTTTTGGAGAAGGTTCCTGAACCCTAAACCCTAAAAGCCCAAAACCCAAAACCCAAAACCCAAAACCCTAAACCCTAAACCCTAAACCCTAAAACGAAACCCTAAACCCTAAACCCTAAACCCTAAACCCGAAACCCTAAACCCGAAACCCGAAACCCTAAACCCTAAACCCTAAACCCTAAACCCTAAACCCTAAACCCTAAACCCCAACGGCATGGCCTTGGTGGTGAGAGGTGCATCTCCGGCACGCCCTCCATCCTCAACAAGTTCACGCTGCGGGGTCCCGAGATCGCCCCCAGCAGATCTGGCACCCATAAAAGGTTTAGGGTTTAGGGTTTAGGGTTTAGGGTTTAGGGTTTAGGGTTTACGGTTTAGGGTTTAGGGTTTAGGGTTTCTCTAGGAGCATGCTGGTGAGAGACGGCGCTTCGTTCGCGTTTCGTTGCTCGAAGATCCGGTACTACTTTTCCCATTCATACCGCCTATGGCCAAGCGAGCGTGGCTCTCATGGCTCTCATGTCTCTCATGGCTGGTGGCTTGTAAGGCCCAGGAAATCGAGGGACTCTGTGGAGGTGCTACAGGTGCTCGGAGCAGGAGCCTGGCGCAGCTTTGGGTCCGCGGAGCTGCGTCAGCTGACTTCGGCCCCTGCGGGGACTCTGCTGGCGCGGCCCTGAGAACGGTGACGCTGCTCGTCCACTGCCGCCAGACGCGAGAGATCTGCGAGCTCCGGCGCCCTCTGATCCTCTCCTACGTGCCCTTCTTCAAGGAGGTTCGGTGGCTGCTGTCTTGGCCCAATTCCACTGAAGAACTGCGTGCAAAGGAACACCTCTGCGAGAAGCAGGGGGATCCCTACCTCTGCGTCACGAAGGTCGCAGCAGTGGTGGAGGCCGTTGGGGGCTCGTCGGGCATCCTGTACATGCACTTTGACGCCGTGCTGGCGCCCTGCTCCTTCGCGCGGCGCTTCGACCCCGGGAAGATTGGCACCTTCGGCTCCCGGGCCCAGCTTCGCTGGGGCACCTTCGCCTCCCTAGACCGCTGCAACGCGCCCAACGCGTCGCACGTGGGCTGCGCGTGGCAGGCGTGGCATCTCTGGGACGTGAACCGCGAGCCGTTGGCGGGTGCCCTCTCGGAGATGCGGCTCGAGCTGCCGCTTCCGGCGCAGCTGTCCCAGGGCTGCTGGCTGGGATACGATGACTTCTTCTACCTCCCGCGCGGGGCGTTTCGCACGTACGGGGCCCTGGCGGAGGTCTTCGCGCGCCACAACATACACCACGAGATCGCGGGGCCAACTGCCTTGGCCGTGACCCAAAACATAAGTGGCCTGGAGATGCAGGACTTCGCTTGCAAGCTTGGGGTTCTGAAGCCTCTCCCACTCGAGGAGGTGACCGCGCCCGACTTCGCGTGCGGCCATGAGGTGCACTACCAGGAGACGGGCATGGTGGAGGCTGTAGATGCCCTGATCAAGGGCAGCAGAAGCCTGTCTCTCCTCCAAGGACTCAGAGCAACCGAAGACGGAGGAGGAGAAGGGAAAGGAGGCATGGCTGGCATGCGCGTGTCTGGCTTGGACTGGGGCATCTTCGGGGAGCTGCCTGCCCTTTGCGCCTTCCTTCTGGCCGGCGTCGGCTTCGTTTACCTGCGTCCGGATGTCACAAGCGATCACAACCGGACCCTGTTCTCCTACTTCGTCTGCACCCTCTATGTTCTGATCTCGGTCGTCATCGACCTGTCCATGGCTGTTCAGTCTACGCACGCACCGCCGAACGAGAACTACAGCTTCGAGCCCATGTGCGCAGTGCTTCTGACGGAGCTCCTTAAGCTCGTGATCTCCACCTGCCTGATCCTCCACGACCGCGCAAGGCGCGGAACTCCGGTGGCCCATCTTCCGAGCGCCGGAGATGTCGCGTGGCTCGCGCTGCCTGCCCTGATCTTCACCTTGAACAACATCTTAGTTTGGTGGGCCATCGGGAACAACGACATCTCCACCTTTGGGGTCTTCCGGGACAGCATGATCCTTTGGACGGCCTTCCTGTGGCGCATCACCTTCGGACTTCCCCTGGGGAATGTGCGCCTTCTGGCCATTCTGGTGATGGTGCTTGGCCTGGCCCTAAACCAAGTGGAAAACTTGCTCAGGAGCCGCCTCTCCTGGCCCCTTGTGCTCGTGCTGCTGATGACGGCCTGCAATGCGTTCGGCTCCGTGCTCAATGAGTTCGCGCTGAAGCGCAAGGTTGGCATGGACATCAACATCCAGAACGCGGTGCTCTACGCGGCGACGGTGCTGTTCACCGGGGCCATGATCATGATTTCGGGAAGAGGCGCGCAGCTCAATCAGTCTGGCTTCTTCCATGGCTTCACCCGACACACCATGTTCACCGTGACTATGCAGGCCCTTGCGGGTCTCACGGTCTCCAGGATACTCAAATATTCGGATGCTGTGCAAAAGAACATCGCCGCGTGCCTACGAGGCCCAATTCTGGTGGTGGTCTCACCAGCTTTTGTCCAGTCCTCTGCAAATGGGCTCACACTTGTCTCTGCCGCGATCGTGGCCACGGGCTGCGGCATCTACTTGAACCAAGGACCTCTCACGCCCATTTCTACGAAGGCCGGGAGCAACAATGTGTCCGGTTGAGTGCTTAGCAAGAAGCGGTGTGCTGGTAACGTGGCCACAGCGGCAAAAGGCCGGCGTCGGCAGATTCAGAAGATCAGCCTTGCTGTGAAGATTTTGGAGTCCCTTCTCTGTGGGCATACCCGAAGCCCGAGCATGCTGGCCATTTGGGATGTTCCCCCTTTTTTACTAACAGGTCCTTAGTAGGCACCCTGGTACCCCCCACTATGGTCCCTATGAAGGAGCTGCTTGTGCAAGGGGGGAACATCCCAAGTGGCCATGTTGGCGGGTTTTAGGGGGTTCAGGTCATGGTGGCTGAGCATGGCCGACCTGCTCATCACGGAGTAGCAGTCTGTAGGAATCCGAACCCTGCCCAACAGGCAAGGCCCTCCGCCCCTCCACCCCTCCACCCTCCACCCTCCTAGTCACTGTTCTTATCCCAAGAAGCCCCACTACATGCGGAGCTCATGCCCCAGGCCCCTGGTGTACCTCTGGCTCGGCGTGGACGTCTTCTGGCCTGCGGCTTGCGTTCGACTTCTGGGTTTAGGGTTTAGGGTTTAGGGTTTAGGGTTTAGGGTTCCCTGGGATGTTCTCCCCCGAAAGTAACAGTCCTTAATCGGGATTACAGTACCCCCATTATCATCAGTATTTTAAGGACTGTTAGTATAAGGGAACATCGCAAGTGGTTCCCCTTTTGAGGGGAATTCTGCTCCGATTCTATGGGGGCAGTAGAAGGGGGAACCCTAACCCTAAACCCTAAACCCTAAACCCTAAACCCTAAACCCTAAACCCTAAACCCTACACCCTACACCCTACACCCTACACCCTAAACCCTAAACCCTAAACCCTAAACCCTAAACCCTAAACCCTAAACCCTAAACCCTAAACCCTAAACCCTAAACCCTAAACCCTAAACCCTAAACCCTAAACCCTAAACACTAAACTTCAGCTGCCAAGGCTGGACTTCGACGTCTTCCTGCTCAGAGATCCCACGCGTGCGGTTCTGGGTGAGTCTCAGCGAAGGCAGGCGGTTTAGGGTTTAGGGTTTAGGGTTTAGGGTTTAGGGTTTAGGGTTTAGGGTCTAGGGTCTAGGGTTTGGGGTTTTTAGGGATTAGGGTTTGGGATTTAGGGTTTTTAGGGACGAGGGTTTCGGGCTTAAGGTTTCTTGGGTTTAGGGTTTCGGGTCGTGGTTGACTTAGAACTACCAACAAGTGTTGAAAGGATGTAAGGAGCGGATATAAGGAGCGGTCGTATAGGTCCCACATTGCTTCCGATTGGTGTTTCAGCTGGTTTTAGATGGATCCCAAACCAAAGCGCAAACATCCAAACAGGTGCCGATGCAATGACGCTACATGAAAGAGACGGTTTTTGTTGCATGCATGTCGGGCAAAATGGTCCATTTTCCACGCATGTGTTTTTTTTATGCCCCCCAGGAAGAGATATATATATATATATATATAGATATACATGCATGTGTGCATGCATACACATATATAAATAAACATGTACATATACACACACATATACATATATATACATATATACATATATACAGATACAAAACCACACATGTCTGTATGCCAGGGAGGGGGGGGGCGGCACGGCGCCAGGCAAGGCAGCCCCCACCGGCTCGCGGGAAACAAAAAAAACTCAGCCGGAGCCATTTCCGCCGCCCTCAGGCCAAGCCCCATGCAGCAGTGCCCGAAGCCATGGGACATATTAACAGCATGGCTGGAAACAAGAAACATGCACGCACATTAAGACTTATATTCCAACACCTTTGGTTCATGCATGTGTATATTGGGCGCCAGATGGCCTGGAGCTCAGAATATATCTTCTCGGTGCCAGGTATATATAACAGTTCAGATGAATGATCCTCCCAGGTGCCGTGGCCAGCTCGTAGCCTCAGATGGCAGGTGCGCCCAGACCCCCACTGTGTGCATGCATGTAAATACAATATACATGTATAAAGAAATTATACATACATATAGATTCGGGCAGCTGAATGTGCATGATTTATTTGGCTCAATCATGCGTCAGGTCCAGCTTTGAAATTGACATGAGCTGCCATTCAAGAAGCATGCACTTACACGCATGATATCTTTGTTTGAACCAGTGCTGGACCATGAAGCCAAAATGCCGTCGCCTGCAGCAGCAGCAGAAGAGGCGGCAAAATTCGGAATTAGTTTTTGCATATCTGCACAAATATTTCAGCAATCCTGAGCAAGACCATCTGGACCGAGCTGCCCGTACTGGCGAGCTCTTTCCCAGAGGAAATTTAAAGAAGGCAGGCTTGAGACATCTCATGTGCTTTGCTGCCTCCAATGCATGTTCAGGTCGATTTTTTACGCAGCGTTTGTGTCGTGTTATAATTAAAAAGTTGCTTTCGGCTTTTGACTTGCACCCTGCCAATGATCCGAAGGAATCCAGGCCGGTATATATAACCAGGCAGGCCAAGCGCTTGCAACTGTTGTGTTGCAGGGCCAAGCGTGCACGTAGCTCAGTGCCTGAGAGTAGCATGGACGCTCTGGAAACGCAAGTCATGGAACCTGGCGTTGCTGATGCCATTGCTGTTCCTAAACTGCATTTATATGTACAAGGGGTCTTATCATGCATGTAAGTGTGCAAGGTTCACACATCGATCCCCACAGCATGCATGTGTGCGTGAGGAAGAGATGATCCGGAAGTCCAAGGACATTTCGCTGGCGCAGGAAATTTGCACGGCTCATTTCGTTTATATATGTATATATATATATATATGTATAAATTGTATAATTTGCCAGGAACCCGAGACTCCTGAATCTCAGCTCTCTGGGCATGGCTTCAACAGCAAGGAGTCATGGTTGAAGGCTGTGTACTCTTCACAACATTTATCACCACGCATGCATGCATGCATGCATGGATACACGCATGCATTGAGGCTCCGACCATGGTTCTTGGTGAGGCGCCACTTGTGTCGTAGAATTCCTCGCAGAGACATGCACGTGTGTGCAAGGACTCCGAATCCGATATGCTCTTGTGGAGCCATGCTGACTGGAAGAAGTACTTGCTGGATCCTGCTTGCTTGTATCGGATTGTGTTGGGTGTACCCACTTCAACTATAACTCCCCCCCCCCCCCCCCCCACCTTAAAAAACAAACCCTGAATGCATGGATCAGGACGGCCAGCTCACCGAAGACGAAGCAGATTGGTGGCTGCTATGGCAGGACCGATGACCGTGTGTTTGGTACTTCCATAGTGAGCACCCTCAGGTGTAAAAACGTTATGCTAACATCTATTTTTCACAGGATCTTGGGCGGCCAAAGAGCTGGGACGAATGGGCGACGGCTACAGTGCGAAACGTCAGCCTCGCATCCATATATATATATATATATGTCAATTCTAGATGCATGCATGCATTAGAATAAATGGTACAGCACGTACTCACACGGCAGGTCCGTGATGATTCCTGGCTGTGGGCAGCGTGGCTTTTATTGATAAAAATATACATGCATGAGCCACAGAGAGAGAGAGAGAGAGAGAGAGAGAGAGAGAGAGAGAGAGAGAGAGAGAGAGAGAAACCATAGAAAAGAGAGTAGAGAGAAAGAAAGAGCGAGAGAGAAAGAGACAGAGCGAGAGAGGGAGAGAGAGAGAGAGAGAGAGATTGAGAGAGAGATCCTCGAGGGGAGAGATCAGAAGACAAAGCGAGCGTTCAAGGACTGGAGTTGGCAATCCGACTCGGACGCTGACGCGTGGTCTTGCTTCGAGGTCGACATGTACAGAGAGAGAGAGAGAGATATATATGTAGATATGCCCTTTTCACCCTTAACCCCAGCTGACCCTCAACTTGCCCTCAACCCTCAACCCTTAACCCTCAACCTTATAAAACCCTATAAACCCTATAAACCCTCAACCCCAGAAAAAAATTGAAAACATTTGCGATCTATATAGGAGCCGGCCGCCAATGCTGCTGCAGCCGGCCGGCGTCTGTCGTTGTCTTCAGAGTCTGGACGCAAGGTTTCATCAGCTGTGTGCGTGCACACATAAAAAATCAGATTTTTGTTTTTCGTCCATTCTGCGGAGGCAGAAGAGACGTCGTCATGCACGAAAAGCCAAGGCGTTAACCCCAGATATCGATCAGCACGCAGTGTATATATTATACGATCTCGAGGTCAGGATGCGCATGGTCTCTCTGCATCCCCCGCTGCGAATCTTAAGGCCTGAATTGCAGTTTCAAAGTGCTATATATTCATATATATACATACATATATTTATGCATATATAATACATCGATCAGAAAGATCATGTCACGCAGGTCACCTGGGCTGAGCCTGTGGCACGGCAACTGCAGCAGCCTCATATATTGTATTCTGTATATCGATGTATAAACCCTAAACCCTCAGCCTGCTTACTGCACGCATGCTCCAGGTTTCCGGACACCGATGTCATGAAAATGGACAAGCCACTTCAACCCATGGCGCAGCAGCAGGTAAAGCTAGCGAAGAAAGCTGCTGCCCAGGCATGCGCTAAGATAAGAGAGTCGACATGCAGAGAGACAGAGTCGACAGCATGTATAGACGCATACATGCAGGAGAAAAAGCACAAGCCGGTAGAGGCGAAAGGAGCCGCGAAGAAAAAGACAGAGAAGAAAAAAACAGAGAAGCCGAAGAAGGCCATTCATTTGTGCATGCGTGCAGATCCAGTAATTGTGTACGTTGCGCACATTATCTGTACACGCATGCGGTGTCGATCTGTCTATATATAGATCTCCGTGCATGTGCCACAGGCTGCAAAGAGCTCGAACTGCAAAAAGGTGGAATGCTCACCACGTGTGGTAATGTTGTATTTACATATTATAGTTATATATATATATACACATTTAACATGCATCTTCGCCAGGAGAAAGCAAAAGCTGGCAAGCCAACGCCCAAAGAGAGGAAGAACAGCGCCTATGGGGAGGCCAAAAAGATCTTCGAGCAGAAGCCCCTAGCATGCATGCGTATAGAGACGAGGCCCCCTTCTAGGTTATAGGGTTTATATTATAT